GGACAGTGGCTCTGATATTAGCTGTAGAAAAATTGTTGGTCAGATGTCCCTTACTGCCATCACCCTATTGGCATACTGGCATAGATGTAGTTCAATAGTTGGAATTTGTCCAGTTACAAATTTAGCCAAGTGGGTGTTTGGCGGGTGCTATGGTGTGGTTTGTTCCTTCTTTCCTGTCAAACATCTATCGTCCTCATCTCATTTCCTTTTTTTGTATATTATACTCTCTTGTAACACCTCTATTCTTCTGCACTTAAATGACCTTATTGTGTTGCAAGAGCTGTAAAACTCTTATTAAAACTAAATTCAGCTGAATATGTTATGCCTGTTAGGGAAACATGGCTTGTTCTCTTCTTGTGAGATGGTTAATGTTGTCATCCTGTTTTCTTATGGTTCTTGGTTTAAGGGTGGGTAAGTGGAGTTACCAATGAAAATTGTTTGCATTTCCTTTTAAGTCTGGACCAGTCCTTTATAACTTCTAGGTTTAGTGTATTTTTGTGTTTGAAGCCACCCTGTCTTTCCTCCATTCTGAGAGGGATTTTGTTCCGTGAACATTTTTGTGAACAAAAAACACTAAGTTTATCTTTAAGTAACAAGATTTAGAGAAAAAAAATTAGCCAAGAAAATACTTCAGTTGGTTCTGTTTGCTGCTTTCAGTTGTTCCTAGTTTTAATCTTTAAAGTATAGAAGATTTTTTTTCCGATAGTCCGTACATTGGAGGCTGTGAAGACAGTTTTTCACAGTCTGTCCCGAAAATTTTTTTCTCATCTGATGTTATGGTTTGCTCCAGGTACTTTTTCTTGCCGGACCCTCATCAGCTGATCTACACTCACTTCCCCGACGAGCCCCAGTGGCAACTGCTGGAGAGGTCTGTCACCCTGCAGGAGTTTGAGGCCATGCCACACATGAAGCCTCAGTTCTTCAAATACGGGCTGGAGTTTGTCACCCACAGAACTGGAGTCATCCACAGTCGTGGAGAGCTGCACATCCGTCTCCGCTACCCATCCGATAAGATAGCCGTGGCCTTCAACTTCACCATTCAGTTTGAAGATGGCAACGAGGAGTACGGTGGTGTCAAGCTGAACAGATACGGTCTGCAGGAGAGCTCGGGCAGAATTGCCTCTTTCTCTCTGCGTTTGCCAGTGCAAGGTTCCTACATTCTCTACATCTACGCCAAAGAGGACACTCCAGAGAACAAAGACAATGTGTACGCACAAGTGTGCGAGTACAAGATCGAGCAGGAGGTTGTCCCCTCGCCCGCCCCTCAGCCTTATCCCCCTTGCTCTTACCTGAACTGGGGAGCTGGCTCTGCTTTCTACCGCTACAACCTCTCCACGTACCAACAGACTGCCACGCTCAACACCCGTGAAGGAAAGGTTGAGCTGCAGGTAGGTCACATCTGAAGTCTTGTTGGTGTTTAAAAAAATTTATTCAGAGTCTGAGTGGTGCTCATGGTTGGAGTCCCATTAGCTTTGAAAGGTTATAGACTGGCATAAAATTTAAATACAGATATTATAAACAGACTGTCATGTATATTAACTTTGTCATGGAGGATCATGGTTTACATTATTTGTCTTCATTTTTAATGGTATTTTTCTTTCTTTCTTCTCTCATCCCCCCAAAATTGAGGTGCCAAATATTATGACAGTAACACTACCTTTAAAATGGATGTAATATTACCCTATCTACTATACAAAAGCCAGATGTTCTGGGCTGTAGTGGAAAGTGGGTGATATGCTACTTATACTGAAATGTGGTTTGAGTACCACTTGTCAGTTATGTTAGAACTCTATCACAGGAATATAGCAAAATGATTGTGTATGTTTTGATTATAACCATGAGTAGGAGAATTATCTTGTCTTGATTGGTATTGTTCAGTACTAATCTTTGTTAATTTTTTTATACCAGACTAGTTGCTTATCCATTTGTTAACGTTGTTTGTCTGAAATGTCTGTAAGACTTGTGCTTCTCAAAGGCCTCAGTGATGTACTTTAGGTACTTTCACTTTTTTGGTCAAATACATGTTATGGTTTTATTTCCAATGCCCCCCCAAAATGTTTTACCCTGACGTTGAACCATTTTTTTCTCTGTATTGTTGTGGCACAGGTTAAGATTCCTTGCAACATGCAGTTCATGGCTAAACTGAAAGCCAATGACTTCGCCGACCCAGAGCTGGAGGGCTATGTCTTGCATCGCATTGTCGGGAACACAGCGTACTTCAACGTCAGCTGCCCGGGTAGAGGCGAGTACGGCCTGGAGATCTACGCCAACAACCCTGACAAGGAAGGAAGCACACTGTACCATGTGGCTCAGTACCTCATCTTGTGCCAGGAAGATGTCAAGGTTTGTTTATATCACAGTTGGGGGTTTTTTTTTGAAGGGGCATTTTTGTACTGTAGGAAGATTTTTATTTTTTTTCTCTCTGTTTGATATTTCTGTTTTTCATTTTGCTTTTTGCCCAGCACAGCACGGTAGTTGCTATATTTTGTAAAGTGAAGACAAGACTCTATTAGTTAAGACAAGCAAAGCAGCACTTTTTTAGTTTTTGCTGCTCGGTTCATGATGTTCTTCCTGTATTTGCTTAAAGGATTGATTTTGAATGAGTATTTTGTCACATTTGACAAAAAATATGCCGTCGTGTTTATGTATCTTGCGTTTCTATTCACTTTTAAGCAAAAGACAAAAGTACATACATGTTTGATGGAGAATCGATAGATTTTGATAGTATTTGTTGTTACTGGAACAGAGAATAACTTGATCTTTTGTTGATGTAGGAACCTAGTGTTCAACTTAAGGAATAGAATTTGTTAAGAATGATCAGTTTCTGTTACGCTTGTAACCATAATGTTATGTGGGCATTTATTTGTTTGTGATACTGGTGTTGGGGCTTTTTTCACTGAATTATTTTACAAGCTGAAAGTATGGTAACTATACTCTCCTGACAGGAGCCAGCTTGTAAAAGAAATTAAATTTTGTTTGTTTTAAATAAGAAGTGGCAATGATGCCCAGGCCCAAAGTGTTAACTTTTCTTCACAGATACATTGTTTTTGCTTGAATAATTTTCCAGGGATTTACCTTTAATTGTGAATAATGTTGGCAGTAATAAATATCTGAGTACCTCATTGATCAAGTGGCTAATTGATTCTTCCTTTATCTAATAGGTTGAGCGTCTGCCAACACTGCCCCACGGTTATCTCGGAAAGCAACAAAGGTTTGATGAGTTTGGCCTTTCATGTGTGTCTCATGTCGATCCTGTGGTCCACCTCGATGTGAACACAGTCACTGTAGCCCTGAAGCAATCGGAACCCATGCGTGTGACAGCCAATCTGATCGCCGTAGACTCTGATGAAGAGTTCCCCGATTTTGTCTTCTCCAATTGCCTGGACAGCCAAATCACATTCATCGTGAACCTGCCCTCTGCTGGCTACTTCAAGCTGCAGATCTACGCCATGCCACTGTCCGACCCAAGCCAGCAGCTGCCTGGAGTGTTCAACTATCTCCTCAACTGCCGCGCTGTCACTCAGGTGAGTCAGTGAGGAGTTTACTCAAAGGTGGATCAGTTCCGACATGTTTGGTTTTTGAGCCAACAATTCAGGAACTTACATTCCACGTTCTCATGTTGCTGTTTGGTTTTCATTTTGGTCTGTCACTGATTTTCAAATTTGTTGGGTTTTTGTTTATTTATTTATTTTTTTTAAAGTCAGGTAGTCTTGATTGAACCACCAAAGTGAACTTATTATATTACAGAATGCAAGTTCCATCTTTCTAGCGAGGTTAAAAGAATAAATGAAAAAATTTAATAAGTGTTCAAATCAAGTGCCTGGCACCCTCTTTACAGCTGTCCCACCCTTTGAAGTCAAGATTGTAGTGTAAGGAATTTCATAATATTTTGTTAAGAATGAATGGAAGGGGTGTCCATTTTCTTGCTTTCTTTGAGTCATAGAAAGAAGATAGCTTGAAACTTGCAACAGGTTCTTTAAATTAAATACAAATTGGTGTTAAGTCTGCCCCTTTTAGTGAAAAACTTGTGCAAATGATTGTGTTGTATTTTAGAATTGGCTCCTACCTTACTTTAGACTTACCTTGACTCTCTTTTTGTTTTCTTTTTCTTCCAGGCCGTGTTCCCCTTCCCCAAGCAATACGCCCAATGGAAGGAGGGCTGCTTCATGTATGAGCCCGGTGTGATCCCCACCAACCGTGGCCCTCATGCTCAGCAGGTGCAGTTGGGGAGACTCCCCGGCCAGGTCAACTTCCGTGTCAGCATCCCCCGAGCTGAGGCCGTCGCTGTTGTGGCCGACCAGAACTGGACTCACCTGGAGAGACTTCAGGTAGCTTTGAGCGTAGCCAAGACTTCGGTCATTCTATCTAAAAATGTGTTTTGTTCTTTGAACATTTAGAGAAATGGCACACGTCTTTGTGAAAGAAAAAACCTCTCCTCAACCCTGATTTTAATGAAAATGGTTTTTGGTGTTACAAAGATTATTTTCAATACTGTTAAACGTGGACAAACAGCCATGTGTATGAGATAATCACTTGTACCAAGGGCACTTCTCATTTCACCCCCTTGTGGATTTTTTTTTACATTATAATGACACTGTGTAAGACGGTCACCTGTTTAAGATGGCCACTTTTCTCCTCAACAATGGGTTGGTCTTGGACAATTCGGACTGTACTACTGTTATTGCTATGGAGGCGATATTGATAACCTTTTTTATTATTAGTGTTAAGAGTGATGCTGTCTTTTTATATTTGAGCACAAGTATGTGTGTCGAGACGTGATGGAACTGGGCGCTTGTCAGTCTTTGGACATATGGAGTTTTTGGTTTGCCATCATATTAAAGGTTGTTCATTTGTCTTGCTTTCGATGAAAAAATTTTCCATTTATCTTTGGTCCTTTGATTTCCAAAGTAAAATCAGAGAAAAAAAGGCCTCCTAATTCTGGTTACTTCCAAAGCTTGAGAGTCCTTGAAAACTGGAAATTTACATTTTTTGTGCCTTTAATCGTTTTTCTGTAAAAGCTGCGTGTCAATGTGTTTTTAAATGGACATAAAAGGTGTTGATTCAAAAAAAAAATAATCGATAGAAATTGCCAAACAGGAAGAAAAATTTAATTATTTTGACGAGTGACTTATTTCACCACGATGCCTCAGATATGATATTGAAATTGAAAACAGTCATGACAACAGCTTAATATAACCCCAGAGGTGTGCCGAACTCTTCATTTCTTTTTGGGTTTTTTTTTTTTTTGTCCTTTCTTTTTATGATCACAATAGAGCTGGTGGTTGAAGGGAACATTGTGACATTTCCTTCAACTGTCGTAATTCTGTTGAATTTTTGCTCATCTTTTCAACTTCATTTCTAAGTATCTTATTATCATTGCTGAGTTAGTGTGCTTTAGTAAGCTGTAATAAATAACTAACAATCATGCAAGAGCGCTACACAAATAGAACTTTTGGAAATTTTTCAGCTTATGTTAAAGTGATGCCAAATATGCAACGGTATTCCAGTATTGTATTTGCATGGTGTTGATACTCTGTCCTTATCATATTAAAAATTGTATTATTATATATATTTTGCAGGGTTTCGAATGGGCTGGTGTTGTTGATGTCAACGGTCTCTATGGAAACGGAGTCAAGATCACCCTGAACGCAAACTTTGGAGGGGACAAGACCAGCTATTCAACTCTGCTTGAATACGTTATCTAGATTTACTCATTGCAGTAAACTGTTCTTAACCAATTGTAGTTCTTTCATTTAATCGTATAAGTATAGATGTAGACCATTATTCCAATTTTTATTATGAATAACTATACGTTTAGGAGTCATGTCGTGTTTCAATTTTGTTCTCTTATTCCTCCTCGTTTTGTTTTTCTTGTTTGTGGAGCTGAACAGGGTTGAAACAATTGTTACACTTTATGGCCGTACTCAGTCTAAGTTGTCTTGGATGGAAACTTTGAGAACATGGTCCACATGAAAAAGAACAACAGAAATATATTGTTTGATCTAAGGTGATTAAATTTAATGTTCAACTTCAGTTGATATTGAAAAGCTATTTCCTTTGTCTGTCCCTTAGCTGAGGACTTTGCTTGTAGTTGCTTCATATGATATTGTTGTCCACTGCACTCAGAGACAGAAACATGGGATCAAATCATTTTTGTTGTTTCTTTACAACGTTAACTGCTATCTTGTTGAAACCAATTTTCTTTGACAAGGTAAATCCTTTTTATGCTAGCCGAAGAATTATCTTCATATCCAGTTTCTTTCTACTCCCAGTTGTGTGCTTACCACTTTTAAATTCTACGCAACAAGTCTTTAGGAGTAAATCTTCCCCCCCCCCGATAATGTTTTTGTACATTTTTAACGAGCTGTTTCCTGCTGATCCCATGACACTGTGATGTAACTGCTTTTGCTTTTTACCTCCGTTTACTGCAGTTTCCTGTCAGAAAGTCTTAGAGGTTACTTTTAATCAATATTGAAAGAAAAACAGATCTGTTTCCCTTCACACTTTTAACCTTGTTTTTTGCTCTATATATCAATAAATTTTTAGGTTCTTTTAATAGAGCTTCATTATTTTTATTATTCTTGAGAGCTGGCTCCTAAATATTTTTTAAAGCTGTGAAATTAAGTTTTAAAATTTTAAGCAACTTTTAGGTTGTTTTTCTTTATTTGTAATGCTAACAGTTCTGTTAAAAGTCTTGTTTTAAAAGATGTTAATTTTTTAAAATCAATATTGTGATGTCTCTATCATTTCATATACACCAATGGAATATATTGCTTTTAGGGGAATGCATTTTTAATAATGGTCTCTTTCTCATGTTTCCAACTTTTCTATCCAGTCTTTTGTCTCTTCCCGTTCCTAGTGCAATTTCTCTTTGTGTACTGTACAGCCTCTATCTTTCCATCTTTCTTACCGACCCCCAGAAGGGACACACGTAATCTACTTCGGCTCTGTCACTACTCACATTTGGTGTTTTGGGCTCTTTTCATTTGAAACATGATGTATTATAACTGGGGAATTTTAAAATAGTGGTATTGGATCTGAAGTGTTTTATCAAATATACTTTTTTGTTTGGACAGACTAAAAACCCTTGAGGTAGCCACAGAAATAATACTTTTTTTGATGTTGCACGCTCTGTGAATTTGTATCTGCACCTGGGAATTTACTTTTCCTGTAGCCATGACATGTGTGTTGGCATTGCTAGCGTAGCTTTTGACAGAGTCTGCTTTGTTTGGGTTTTTTTTTGCTGCCGTGGCTTTTTTAGAAGGAAAGATTTAAAAAGTTTTCTTTAACAGAAGGTCACAGGTGACACAATTATACAAACATCAAAATGCGTCACATGTGATGCTTGACAAAAGTGAAATGTCTCTACATTCTGCTCCTCTCCCAAACCCCCTTTTACTTGTGCTTCTCTTTTTGTTTTGTCATCCACAATGCTTATGTATATGGGTGCCAAAGAAAGTACGGAATTAAGTCAATAGTACAGTGATTCCAAAACGCGGTCTCAAATGTCTCTAAAATTGACATGTTCTCAAAATGATTCAATTTAATGTTTGTGTACTTTTGTAATACGAAAAGAAAAGGTCAATGGAAAAGGCTTTTACATTATCTTGTGGTGTAGTTAATGCATTCTATCTCTGCAATAAAAGCTTCTTTCAACTGAAAGCCTGTTTTTGTATGGTCTTTGTATGTTTAATTTAAAGTTTAATCAGATAATTTGCTTATGAGGTTATATTCCTTGGGGTTTTTTTTCCCCCTAATATGAATTCAGTCGAATCTGCCTAAATGGAAACCTGTATAAAACGGAATCTCCCTACACCCCCCTTGATATCTATACATGTATTCCTCTTTAATTACTTGTTTAAAACGGAAACCTGTCCAACGCGGAAATGGAAAAAAACAGTCTGCTCCCTTCCAAGGTTTCACCTGTCTAAGACGGAAAATGTTTTACCCGCTCAGCCCTGATTTGAATTATTTGAAACAAAACTCGGAAGTTTGGTTCCGCCAGCTCTAAACTTAACGCTATGGCCATGCCGCTGGGCGAGGAAGGAGAGTAGGGTGCAATTTGGGGGTAAATGTTACCCCCATCATGTGAGCCCTGGGCAATGCAAAATGGTCAGGATAGTGTGGATCAGAGGTGTGGATGTGAAATTTCACGACTGCCCGTGGATTGCTCGAGTAGCGAGCCACTACGGAAACTTTCCTGGGTAGTCAGAAGCCAGAGGTGTGAAATTAGATTGACCAGTGCCTGCCGACCTGATCGTACGACCAGCCGAGAAAAGAGTTCTTCGAATCGTTATTACATAATGGCAGTGAGGCGTGAGGGGTGGCATTGGTTGACTGTGCTTGTTACGCCAATGGGTGGAGCTAAGAGTGGAAGCAAAGGGGATGTTCAAACGTTTCTGTTTTTAATTGGTCAAACAGTGGTCCTATGAAAGGCAAGCTGTGGTGGTAATTGGATAAGTAAGACTGGCGCATGCCATTATCAGTCAGACAGGATAGCCATTGAGAGGTGTGAAGTTTTGACCCCTGCTTGCCGATCGGACAAGCGATCCTTGATCTCACCGGCTGGTCCTTTGAAACCCCCCTCCATCTCCCCCCTGAGTCCCCTAAGACGGATTTTTTTTCTGGCTCCCTTGCGATTCCGTCTTACACAGGTTCGACTGTACAAGAATACAGGATCTGCAACTGTTACTTGCATGAGTATATATACTCATGGACGGACGGACACACACATACTCGCACACACACACACACACACACACACACACA